ACTGCTAACTTTTGCTTTTTTAATGCTCAAAGGATCGCTTGAGGAGGCTTTATCCATTATCTTGCAGAACATACCAATTGAAATTAAAACACCAAATGAGACAACAAAAATCTCGGAAAAAATGCCACTAAAAGAACGTGATACTAATAAAGCATTGGATATATTCAACGTTAATGTTACCAAATCTTTTGATCTATTCAATTCCAAGTCAAGCTTCAACTTCCTTGTCTGTAGTGGGGCGGCCGGAATAGGTACTCATTCTATTTGTCTGTTATTATATATACACCATGTATTGTTAACCTCATGTGTTTCATCAGGTAAAACCCGTTGGGGAAATGAGTTCTTTAACTCTGTTAAAAAAGATTGGAGTCCACCACCTAATTGGGGGGAACCAGATTACCTCTATTTGCTTCTTGATTTCGTAAACGGTGTTCGCCTTTGTGATCTTGATACAAATCTGATGGCATCTACCATTCTCGGACTTAGGATAGCCTATCACTATTTTGTACGCAGAGCCGGTAGAGTAATGTCATTTGAAGCATTTCAGGTTCGAGCGTGTCACTTTTTTAAACATTTCAGAATAAATGTTGTTCTTGAAAGTATTCGAAATCATCTAAGTGGGCTCAATAAGAAGCTTATTATAGTACTTCATATCGACGAGTATCAGGAAATATTCGCTTTCGCAAATAGTTGGAAAGGAAGGTTGAGTGGGAAAGGACTTTTTAAAGAAATGTTGTATGCCCTCGGACCTTTGATGATAGAATCTGAAGTGAAGTATTGTTATGTCCAAACGTTTTTAACAGGGACAGCATCACAAGATGTTACCAATAGCTTCAAAGCAACAGAATATTCCTTCAAGTTTGTCAAGTGTTCCCTCTTATCAAACAAATCAATTATCGAAATTTTTGATTATTTTGCTGAAAAAGGAGGAGATAAAGAGAAACTTTGGATGTTCAACACCAAATTTTTACAGCTTTTATATGATACTAGTGGACTACCGCGAGCATTGGAAACTGTTCTTGATGAATGTTTCAAAAGAGATGGGTTCTTTACAAAACTGAAGGATAAAAATTTTACATTATTTGATGACATATTCCACGCTGTCATTAATAACCTCACGAATAAGTATAAATTAGACAAATTTATTATGAAAAACCGCAAAGCTAGTTGTAAGCTCCTATACTACTGCATCGGAGCCATTCCGGTTCAGCTTAATACAAAATTGGATTGTGAGCAGACAGTAACGGTAGAGGACCTGGAGCGCGATGGGTTTTTAATTCTAAAGAATTTTGCACCTAATACTTACTTTATTGAAATGCCTTTTTACTTTATTTACATATATAACATATGGTTGAACACGGTCCCTGTTATTATACACAAAATGTTCCAGCCTGAATCCAAAATGGCCTGGGATACCTGGGAGAAATTTGTAGCTAATTATGAAATATTTCGCAACAATCTACTTTTTGAACTAGAGCAACATAAAGAGGGTATTTCTTTGAAAGAACTTTATCGTGGGGCAATTGGCAAAGGCTCTGTTTTGAACATCCGGATGAGGCTTGAAAAGCTTGAACTATGTGAAGCAAAAAACCAGTTTCCAAAAACTGGTCTTCCAATAAATCGCTTAAATAATAGAGTTATGAATCTGGATGGCTTAGTGGTTGTAAATGGCTGCTCGGCACCATTTGGTGATGTTTTTTTAGTACGCAAAAAAATTACTGAAAATAGAAATCTTCTTCTAGTATTCCAGCAGAAATGGTATACTACCTTAAAGGAGCTTACTATAGATGATATAAAAATTGAATGCAATAAGAACAAAAAGGCTGTTAACGAAATAAAAGATAGTAATTTGAAGAAATTTCTTGAGGAGTCTCATATTGTGACTGTCATTTTCACATCGCGACCATTCAAAGGGAATCCCAAAGATCTACCAGATGACTGTCTGATTATTTCAATGGAGAACTTCAATCAGTATTTTGGGCCCTTATTTGCCTCACGATTGACATTCGATATTATAAACAATCTCAATATCAACTCCGCAGAGCCAAAACGAATTTCTGAGGTGATTAAAGGGGTTGGAGACATCTTATCTAAGGTTATACATGAGAATCGACCATACAAAAGTGCAACCGAAGTTATTGAAAAGAATCCAACTTATAGAAGCTACCTTGAGAAAGTTAGAACACAGCTAGAAGATTGCTCATACGCTCCATACTCATTTCTGGATAATGAGAATGATTCAATGATATTAAATGAATATGATTCATACTCAAACGATAATGACATAGAAATGGATGTTGACTTGTAAGATTAGTTTACAACTATATTATGCGTAAAACATTACATACAAAATATTATAATGTTATAAAACGCTCGTATATATTTTTTTTAACTAATATTATTAACATGCATTATTTC